CACACACATCGTGATTGTAACTGACACAGAAAGCATGCTGAGGAAGATCAGGACAGGCATGCTTACAACGCCCAACAAGAAGAATCCAACAAGGGTAGTGTATTCAGCTTATGTGGATGTAGTATATCCATAAACGGTTACTGCCATTATTGTCTTATTTGGGTATTAGCTTTTACCTGGGAGTGAAAATGTTAATTTTGTACAAAAACTTGAGTTTTGCGTGCATATCCGTTTTACAGATCAGGTTTATTTTATGCAGACCCTTGGTTCCTCGCCTCTCAGGCAAAAGCACCTTGACTTCGAAGGAAACAACTCTATTTTGTATGACTTTTACAACATGATTGTTAGAAGAGCAGTGGGTTTTTTTCCCCCATCCCCCTTTCCCCCTCCCCGCCTCTGCCATGAAACACTGGAACCCACACGGGGATACAACATCTTTCATATACGGTATGGCTGGCTCTTTCAGTAACACAAAGCATTACGATCTGCTGTGTTTGTAATTGTTGCAGTGTTTGTTATTCGACCTGTGCTTGGTTAACATAAATTTCTGTAACCTACGATGCCATTTCAATGGATTGAGATGAATTCTCTCCGTATTCGGATTTCGGGCTGTACAATAGACATGGCCAATAAAGACACATTTTTTAGGGGTTTGTAGTTTGTCATGTTCTTAGTACACCTGTTTCCACAGCGAGGCGCACACGCTATCTATAGGTGACAGGTTCGATTCTCGGCATGGTAATGATAGCTTACAATGCCACACAAAATGACACAAGAGGACTGTAACCAGTTGGGCGAAAAGTCTTATATTCGATACTGCATGAAGACAAGTATTTATAAACTTTGACATCTGTTCCCTTATCAACCCAGCTTAAATCAACTCCAGGCAATCATTCAGGAATTAAAGATTGCTCCAAATGCTCGTGTTTACCAGTTGGTGATGCAGGGCGGAAGGAGAGAGAGGGGGAGGGGGGATTGTAGGAGGGGACGTGAGCCTGAGTAATTCAGGCCGCACAGCTAGTATAGTCACAATAAATTATGCAGGTAAGAAATTTTTTTTTTGTGGGTCATTGTCTAGGTCTGACATTTTCCACGTCTGGCCAGATTTTTTGGTATGTTATGACTAAATTTCAAAGTTAAACGAGTATTATGCTTTGAATGGAAGTCAAGGGACAAGCTTTACACATCAGGTGATTCTTTTTAAAGGAATTGAAGGAGTCCTAAAAATATAGTTTGCACACTTAGAGATTAACCCTTGTGACGCCATACAGCAATAGAAACCCACCAAAAGAGTAGGACGCAGACAACAAGGTAATCACAGAACACGATGGAAAGATAAAATGAGAGAACCTCTGCAAAAAGAACAGTCTATCTGTTGTTGAGATACATAGAAGAGCACAAAGCATAAATGTATAGCATCGTGTGCCATGACAACTGGCGTAGGCGCTCATGCGTCTGCATAGGCCCCGATCTCTGGTTGATGGAACAGCTCTCTTGATGATATCAATCCATCCAACGTTTCAGCTTATCCAGCATCATCTCCCTTGGTCTGCCTCTACCCCTTCTTCCACTGATCTTTCCAGTTGTCACAATGTTCTCCAATGTCTTTCTTCTCATTATGTTGCCAAAGAACAGTGTTTGTCTCTTTCGTATTGTTGTAATTAGAGATCTATTTTCATTAGCTTCATTCAAGCAATCGTTGTTAGTTACTCTGGCCATCTAAGATATTCGTAACATTTGTCTCAGAAACACCTCTCTGTTGCTTCTAAGTTCTTCCTAATTTGTTTACTGACATTCCAAGTTTCGCTGTCATACAGCAGAACATGTTCTAGAAATGTATATATCTCCGTCAAAATCCGAAGCTGTACAAGAGAACACGAAGAATAAAAAACACCTTGAAAATTGCAGCATGATTAACCTGTTCACAGAAATATTTTATTTTAAACATGTGAAACCTCATAACAACTGTTTTGTAAAAAATTTGGAAACATCTCATTAGGTTCCGAAATACAACAATAATAAAAATTTTAATGATTGAGAAACATTTATGGCTACTTCATGGGCAAGTAAAAATAAATAAGCAAAGGACGCTTATTTAGGCAAGAGACGCATCGACATATAAAACAAGGTTCATTATGTTACAAATCAATCAGCACTCAGTGGGGGATGTTCTCAACGTCATGCAGACTGCCTTTTCTTCCCAGGACGTTGCATGGTGCCCATATTAGAAAACTAATCAACTGAACTGTGACTTGAAAGCGTAACGAAATGGGAAAGCAGAACAATGTGCACAAAACAAAACAGATTGACGTTTCGGCCGGTGTCTTTCTCGACACGAACTAAACTACACAATAGTAACAAGGAGGAGAGAACCAGCAAGGGGTCAAGTGAGAAACTTTGTAAAATAGGGGGAGAGCGAAGGTGGTGGGGCAGGGGTGAAATGAAGGAAATAAGGCTCGAGAAATAGTCGTAAAAACAATAGTGATAATATTTAACAATAGTAGACATAAAAGAGTAAGAGTAATAGAACTACAACTGGTAATGATCCATAATAAAACTGATAACAGACGGAATAAAAAAAATATTAATGCAAAAAAAAAAAAAAAAAAACGTTAACAAAAAAAATCAAATCAAATTTAAAATAATGTGACAATAGTAAAACTGTTTAGATAAAGGCATGCTGGACATTGATGCCTCCAGGACTTAGAACACCCAGACTATGAATGAGGTGCGTGGTATGATCACCGGAGCAAGATTTTATATGTGACAGATATATCAAATTTGCCTGTGTGTTCAGAGCTGTTAAAATGAAGAGGGATTAGTGTCTTATTTTCAATATCAGAGAGATCTTCTCGGAACCGACCAGAAAGCTTCTTCCCAGTTTCACAAACGTATGCCTTTACTTTATTTTAATTTATTTTATTTCACACTAATATTTTCTCTGCTTCTAAGTCACAGTTCATTTGATTAATTATATATATATATATATATATATATATATATATATATATATAAAATATAGCTTGACTGCAGTCACCCCATTTTTTTAACGAATATTTGGCTCAGTCCGACTGGCAGCTAAAGTAATTTTTTTTTTTTCAATTTATTTTTGGATATAAAATTCAAACTGCTTCTTCTTTCTTCACTTTGTGTCCTCTCACTGATACCAGGTTGTAGCCCAATGTCATGGTTTTCTGTGTTTGTCTTGCGCTTCTCGCGTGGCTAGGTGATGGATTTGTTCTTCTTTTTGGCCCGTTTCAGCTACACCATTAATCTATATTTTCTAGGTCGTCTCCTCGACTTTCTTTCTACTGGAGATTCTGCTGTTACGAAACCTCACATTAAATGACGCTACATTTTCACTAAATGGACGAACCGTCATTTCTTGTCTGCCAATATATTCCAAATATGGTCTTATTCAACGTTTCTTACTTATGTTGGTATTCATTTAGAGCCAGCATACCGCGATCGAAACCCACTGCAGGCTGCGTGGATTTTTGTCGTGGTATGGGACGTCGCAGGTCGACCCAGCCTCAAATGGGTACCAGGATGGGCTGTCCTGGGAAAGTAAAGACAGCCGGCGTAATGCTGACCACATTACCCACAGAGTGCTGATGGTCTGTAAAAATATGGGACGCTCTGGCCATATGCCCGATGCGCCGCAAGGCGTGAAAAGGGAACTTTACTTTACTTTACTTTTTATTCGTATAGCATTTTTACACAACCTCGAATAAATTAAAAACAACGCATCCATTGGATACAATAATATACACATGCAGGGACACTGGAATCTAGAAAAGGGAGGGGGAGGGGGGGGGGTGTTGAGCCACTTGTCCCTTAACTCCTGCACCCCCCCCCTTTTAAGAAAAATAATAGGTAATAGCCACCGCCCCCCCCCCCACCCTCATGTCACTCCCCTCCCCCTACCCTTTTAATTGAAAGAGGGCTAAGAAACAACCTTGAAAAGTTTCATGAGTATTTGTTGATAAATTTCATATCAACTCTTCTAGTCAAACAGCGCCCCTTGCATGGAGCAGTACACCTATTTAGGTATTAATGTAGATAAAGATAGGGGAACTGATAGAGGTATTAAAATACAAACACAAAAGGCAAGAGAAGCTTTCATAGCACTAGGAAATTTGTGGAGGTCACAAGAAATAAAAAATAATACTAAATTGTTAATTCTAATTTAAAATCAGTACTGTTGTATAGAGCAGAAACACGGAGAACAACTATGAAAAAAAAAAAAAAACCCCACTACAATCATTCATTAACTGGTAACTGCTCAGAATAGAGGTAATTAAATGGTATGATAGAATGACTAATGTAGAGCTTAGGCAGAGAACTAAACAAGTTCCAGTGGACAAAGAGGTGAAGAAAAGACGCTGGTGGTGGATAGAGAACAGTATAACTATCATATCTTTGCACTGGAACCCGTAGGGGCATATAAATAAAGGAAGACCAAAAACACACGGAAAAGGGATCTAAAGAGTGAATGTAAAAGTTACAAGGGAGAAGGTTACCCCGTACAAGGGGGAGGATTACCACCCCCCCCCCCCCAACCCTCGAGTTTTCTTGGTGTCGCTCCCCTACACACACACACACATACATATACACACACACACACGTCAAGTAAATGTAACAATTGAAACAACATATGAGGGGCAAAAAGCCGCTTTCCCGCACCTGTGTCTATTCCACCTGGCTCGGTTTTATTTTCGAAGGCAACCGGCCCCCGGTCAAGACCTTCTCCCAAAGCCTAAACTCTTAACTCAATGGTAGCGGCAGCGACAAAGTTTAGAAAGTAAAAATGTTTATCAATAAACTCACCGGTACAATACAAATATGACCTCATTACAGCCAGGGCGTTGAGCAAGCGGTGTGACCGCTCTGCCACCGAGGCCTCGAAAACAACAATAATTTACAGTTCCCCCCCCCCACCCCCAATAAATCCCCTTCTGCCCCCCACCCCCTAAAAATGGGTATAATTGTCGCTTTAACTATTCAGACAAGTCAAAAAGAGGTATAATTCTAGCCAACCTCGTTTTTCGGAAACTATTTGGTATCCACGGCAACCGGTAAACTTCAATACCATGGTCATAATCTCCTGCAGCATCGTCTTTACCACTTGAAGCACCGTTTTTAAGTTGGCTCAAAATCCCTCGCTCCTTCAGCGTGCCCGGCACAGTATTGTCCAGGAAACAAGCAAAAATGCCACCAACAAAAGACGGATTCGACAACGAGAGGATGATGATGTTGTTGAGCTCTGCGTTTCCCGTGTCGATGCTACCAGAGTTCTTAGTGCACCAGTATGGGAGCATCATTCCCAGAAGGAGTGCCATTCCTATAATGCTCATGTTACGAAGCGAGTTTAGATCGATGAGTTGTAAGTACGACATAATGATGCCGATAAGAATTCCAAAGGTAACAATTTGAGAACCACCGATCACTGAATAAGGAATTGTGGAGAAAAAGGCACCAAGTTTTCCCAGAAAGGCACAGACAATATAAATAACGCCGACGACTTGAAAAACGCTGCGACTGGCAACTTTGCTGATACTCATGGCACCAATGTTTTCTCCATAAGATACAGTGGCGTGCCCACAACCAAGACTTCCGCTAAGGAAACTCATCAGCCCCTCAACTGCTATCCCTCTGTTGAGAGCAAAACTTGGCGGGGGAGGCGCCCTGGCTATCTTTGCACTGGCACTGTAGTCACCTATAGAGTCCAAAATGGAGAGAATTGTACTGACCATGAAACTGACCAGAGCTGCACTGCTGAACGTGGGAGCTCCGAACTGACCAGGGTACGGGTAAAGGAACCAGGCTGTGTCTGTAAGGACGTGTAGGCGAGCATCTGTTCTAGCGTTGAATTCTTTGCTGCTGGGGTCTTTTGAGAGTGCCCCATATTCGGTCATGATATAACTGACAATCCATCCTGTTATAATACTTAAAAGAATTGAGAATGTTTGGTGAAGAGGCTGCCAGATGATGTGGAAACCCCGATTCTTACTCCAGAAGGGTATAGGAGTGCTCCGATTGCTAAGATACAGTGATAGAATAATACACATTCCAGCTGTAATTACTGCTACCGGCCAGTTGCTTTCGGCAAAACCAACAACCACCTTATGTATGTAAATTCCAAATAACAAAACCACTGGTACAATGGTCACGGGACCTACAAAACGGGCGACAACACCAACAAATCCCGTGAAACCGATTAGAAAGTGGACTCCACCAGATATCATCAAGCTACCAGCGTATGCATTTATTCTGGCGATAGCAATGTCTTCATTCCGGACCAGTGTATTGTTGCCAATATCCGCCATAAGAACAGTTATGTTTGTCTCAGGATCTGTAACGGTGAAAGTTTCAGGGCACTTGAATTCTGGCATGGCCATCATAATAATGAGAGGAATAATATACGACACAGATGGTCCCTGGAAAATTGGTAATCTAACTCCGAAGGTCGTGATGGCAAAAGTGGACAGACCCATCATCAGCATTGTAGAACTGAGTATTCTCACCTTGATTGAAGCTTCCTCCTGGGCACAAACTGCCTCAGCGACAATGACTGCTGTTCCCAGGGGAGTCGAAATAGCCAGGAAACTCTGCTGCAGCGCAAACAATATCAGAAAGTGAACTGGTGGAGTGGCGGTTAACCCGTAAATGAGTGGTTTCGTTGGAGCTTCACCTACCTCAATGATTATTTGATGAGCTGAGTCATCTTCGGTAGCTTTGCTTCTTTGACGCAGACTATTGTCAGTCATATTGTTGTTGATTTCACAAGAGGCTGTTCCTTCTCCTTCAAATGCTTGATTGTCGTATTGAGTGCCAAGATGTCTGTCTGTACACTGTGAGAAGGGAGCTCTCATCTGATGATGCTGGAAGTCAAGTACTGGATTAGTTTCCATCTGGTACTGTTCTATGCCGAGTACTGAATCATCCTTTATCTGTGGCGGCTCTTGTTGATGGACAGAATCATCTTTCATCTGATGCTCTTCTATGTGACGTATTGAGTCATCCTTTGCCTGATTACTGGGAAATACAAAATCAGCCTTTTTACGATACAGTTCAATCTCTAGCATTGAATCAACCTCCGCCTTGTGCAGTTCTATGCCAACTACTTGACCAGTCGGTTGATTCGACATATTTAAAGTCATTTGATACTGTTGTTCTAGGCCAACCGCTGAATCCACTTCCTGTAGTGCTATGCCAGCTACTTGACCAGTCTGTTGATTCGACATATCTGAAGCCAGTTGGAATACTCTAAACACTTAAAAAGAGAGCACACACAAACAACCAACGCTGCTTCTACGAATACTTAAAACGAACGTAATGAGTAAACAGCCACTTTAACACACGTCACTTCCATACCACATCCGGGTCGTCAAAAAAAAAGGCCATGTTTAACAATCGTGTACACACAAGGATATACAACATGTGGGTGTAGGATACAGGTGGGAAGAAGGAAAACACGTCGTTGTTGTGGCCTTAGGCCTGCGATTTATGTGACAGCTAAGACAACGCTGTCTATTAATTTTTCCCAGCGAAAATATATATGGGGGTCAACCTTATACATGCCATGCGTTTCGGAATTTTGACGGAAAATATTGTCCATATGTGGGTTCCTGGGGGTCCCATTTTAGGGGAAAGAGAAAGAGATCCATTGCCCGTCACAAAAGCATGTCGTAAAGGGCGACATATTAATTGCTTGTAGAAGTTCGAATCTATCTGTAAACCACAAATAAGGTGAAATGAACGTAGAGTGCGTTGTTTTGTACTGAAGTAGTCAAGGCAGCGTAATTCGATCATCATAAAATGGTGGTCTTCATTTTCTGGGGAAATTATGAGATGAAAAAAGAAACCAGAATATGCTGCAAAAAGTTATGCAATAATAAAAAAATAAAAAATAAAAACAACGAGATAGAAGCAGCCCAAGTGAGGCGTTTCTAATGATACATGCATTAGGAGATTGTAAGTTAGGGATGGGCGTCATCGACAACGCCAGTAGGCTAGACACTCGATATTTTTCATGAAGATGATGTAGATGCGGCCGTGCACTGTTGTGAATCATAGGTAGATTAACGCAATGACACATACTCTCTGAGAACCACCGAGTTGTTGGAGCTAAATGCTGGCCTGCTGATTCAAAAATCGTGGGTTCAATCCTTACAGAGCTGGATTGTTTTTTTTTAAATATGACCTTGGCTTCCATGTCGGCTTAGCCTTAAATGGGTGCTGGGTTAACATCATGGAAAGTAAAAGCGGTTTTCGTGATGTTGATCTAATCATTCACCAGGTGTCCATTGTTCTAGGCAATATAAGCCTAGCCCTATATGCCCAATACGTTTGAAGGCGTGGAAAAGGGCCCTTTACCTTACTTTTATACATAATCTCCATTCTCTCGCCCTAGTTCACAAAATACTATAGGTACTTAAATATTTCTGACGCGAACAACCAGCGGTAAAGCCTTTGACTGCATACCAGAGCATGCCAAAGCTACCGTGTTGTCACATGCAAGAAAGAAAAATATCCCACTGTACATTATATAATTAAGGTAAGCAAAAGATTCTTTACACGGCAGTTGCTCAATAGGTTTATGGTACTTGACTATTTTTTGTTAATAACAGATTGAATGGGCGTCCCAGCCTGGGGCTTAGGTACCCCTCCACCCACCCCTTTACAGCCAAAAAATGTGCAAGGGGTCTAAACTGTCGCCCTAACCCTGCATAACTTTCATGATGTTTTTGTGTGTGTGTGTGTGTATAATATATACAGTTTATCATCATGTTCCTCAAGAAAACTTAATTTTCGGTCAATGCGGGGAAGAGGCCGGTTAACAGTGTTAAGTCGTAGACAGTTTTTGCTTATGATGTTACTTAGACATTGCATTTTGTCTAAGTAAAGACTGGACATATATAGTTCCGTCGCCTACTTATTGAGTTTAGTGCATGGCGCTACACTGTGAGCTGTCGATTTCATTAAGCATGTTTTCGGCTGTGCACAATATGGTTTGTGTCGTGAACTGCATGTTCAGAAAATGACTAGTGGCCTGTTTCCTAAGAACTGATGACACCTTATGCGAGTAATTGCATGTGCAATTATTGATCTGTTCTAGCCGCGCCTTCCGTCAACAGTAAACTGCATTCTTAGTGCCGGTCCATTTGTGTCGGCACATCTGACAATAGCTTATGCATTAAATGCGTGAACATGCTATTGACTTTTCTGTGTCAGTTTGTTTCACACCGGACAGTGATGAACATTCTGTGTGGTTGTAGCTGGCAGAGAACGGAGCAACCCGTTTGACGTGAAGTTGGGATTGTGACTATCTGATTACCTGATACTTTACATAATTTCAAATATATTATTGTACTTTTCATTATTCGCCACCTAATAATATTAACAAAAATAATAACACTCACTGTGCATTTAAGGAAGAAATAAACCCCCTTGAGACCTCTGACGCCTAGAATTATAATGGGACTGAGTCTTCTTTGTGTCTGCCCCCCTGACAGTTGGCACTCATATGGCGAGAGGTAGGTCGGGGAATGGACATTTTCAACAAACATGATTGACTAATCTTGGGAGAGAGAGAGAGAGAGAGAGAGAGAGGAGAGAGAGGGGAGAGAGGGGGGAGAGAGAGAATAGGAGGGACAGAGAGAATAGGAGGAAGAGAGAGAAAGAGAGAGAGAGAGAGAGAGAGAGAGAGAGAGAGAGAGAGAGAGAGAGAGAGAGGGGCGCAAGTTAAATGTCTGAATTATTGGGACAATCTGTATTTGAAGACCATTGCACGTGAAAGAATCTATTCCACGCCTTCAAGCGTATTGTGCATTTAAGGCTAAGTTAGTTGCGTATTTTTTACAGGACGTTGCAAAACTAACCCCATAATTTCTGGCCTTTTGTGGTTTTTCTAGGCTAGTTACGTCCAGTAGTTTGCCATTGCTTTCTGGACTTTCGGCTTCTTGATACCACTGTAGAAACCAACGCAAGCTGGGATCGAACCGGCTCCCCGGCATCTCAAAGCGCGCTCGCCACGCCTAAGCCACAGACGCCGACACACATAGGGCTAAACCTTGGTTTTATAGACCAATCGGCATTTGGTGGTTAGCTTCAGGCCGGCCACCTTTACTTCCTAGGACTTACCTGGTACCCAATCAAAGCTGGGTTGACCTGAAAAACCCATACTAACAATAACGTAAATAAGAACGCTGCTGGGTTTTCCATGAGAGTTGTAAAGTCATTAAAGACTTGTCTCTAGTTTCCGTGACGCTAAGTGTACGTGAACTTGGGGCCGGCGTGACACCAGGAAGAATGTTGAAAAATGGGTTTAAGGAAGATCAGAATGAAACATTAGTCAATTGTGCTGTTTGTCTCGCACTGTAACAACTGTAGTTAGTGTACGGACTGCATCATTCGGTTCATGAAGGCAACATACGAGGCAACTTCACATGAAAACCGTCTTTTTTCTTTGCGTTCAGCGGCTGTAAACTCTGGAGCAAAATTCTGCTTGTTTATCCCCTTCTGGACTTGTTCCAGAACCTGAGTGTTGCGTACATATCCGTTTTACAGATTTGACTTATTTATATGCAGATTGTTGGTTTATTGCCTTACATGCAGATGCACTCCGACTTCAGGAAAACCTCCAGTTTATAGACTCTAACGACATTTTTGTTGGTGTGGTGGACAGTGGGTCTATTTTTGTCTTCTCCACAATAGGGCCTCCGAAATCACACGGGGAAACCGAAAACCTGAAAAGTGTGTAGAAATGCATCGGCGAATGAGGGTCCAACATGGTAATGCGTGCATGTCAGTCCGCCAGGTGTGTGAGCTGAACACAATGTTTCAAGAGGCGTGACTTTTATTACAGAGTGGTCACGACTGAATCAGGCACACAGAGCAGTGACCCCAGACAGGGTCTTTTCGAAACTTTCTACTCCACTCACACACTTGCTTTACGGACAGGCATACACCATCTGCTGGATCTTCATTCGCTGATAAATGGTAATAGTTTTCACCCCTTCACTGATTGGTCAATTCCACGATAATCTTTACACGTTACACACTAGCTCACTTCTGATTGGTCGACCTCCAGTCACCCAACTTTCGCACACCGCTAAGGGGTGTTTGGGCCCTGGATATCGCGTGTTGTATATTTAAACACGCCAGCGCTTTTAACACTAAATGTATCCAGTTTCGTCCTTTTTAGGACGAAATTTTTTGTTATTTGAAGCCCCACTCTGGCTTTTGCCAGGGGCCGCAATATAGGCAGGCCATAAATATGGCCAAATGTCTGAACGCGGTTTCTGGGACCTCTCCACGGCGATCCTCATCCATATGGTGGCACTTTGTGTCATCGGGTGTTTATCGCTTGTGTGATGTCCTGGTGGGGTAGAAAGTCAGTCAGTCAGTCGTTTAACACTAAAAAACATTTAGAAACTGGGTCTAACCCACAATCCCCATCAATAGTGCTACAATCTATGTCACAAGCATTCTATTTCTCGGAAGACAACCGTAAAAGCAAAACAAGCCAGAAAGAAAACAACATAGCCGTAATCTCCCCCCCCCCACCCCCCACCCAACCATAGACAGCGGACGAGTCTAAAAAATGTATCAACGGAACGTGACCTAGTTGTGCTGGGGAGATTATCGTTGAACTAACTAACTCACTGACCCACAACTGAAAACAGAATGTAACTCCTCTTTGGTGCCTGGTAAAAGTAAGGCGGTCTTCATTAAACTGTTTTTAATGATGTCAGATCGGCTTCTGTAGCTTAGTTATTGCGAACGCGCTTCGTAATGCCGGGATGCCGGGTTGGATCCCAGCTGCAGGCCTTGCGTTGGTTTCGACAGTGGTATAGAGAAGGCTATCCTCCAGAAAGCAGTGGCAAACTACTAGACGTAACTTTGCTTAGAATAACCACAACAGCCAACCCCCCCCCCCCAAACCCCCCCCCCCGGCCCCCAAAATGTTGAGGTTGGTTCTGCAGCG